CATGTCTGGCCTCAGCCTCATAAAAATAGCCTAGGTCTGATGTTGAGCTTGATTATCCTTCCCTAGATGAAATATGGGGAAGTCTGGTGAAATAAGGGAAGTTAGGTGTACTAAGAGGAAGTAAGATGCTGCATCTACATGGTTTTTGCAACCTGTAATGAATTTAATATTTTAAAATTAATTAGTGTTTAGATGTGTCAGTTTTAACTTACAATAGTATATGTTGTTAAGTGCTGTTGAGTCTGTTCTGACCCATAGCAACTCTGTATAAAGTTTCTAAGCAGCTGGTAAGCTTGAACAGCCACCCTTGCAGTGCAGTGCATATACCCACAGCGCCACATCAGATTCCTATAGTAGTATGTTGTTGTTATTTTTAAGTGCCATTGAGTTGACTCCAACCCATAGCGACCCTGTATAGGGTTTCCAAGGAGCAGCTGGTGAGCTTGAACTGCCAACCTTGTAGTTCAAACGGCTTTACAGTCTGGCACGTTAACCCACAGCGCCACACTGGGGCACCATAGATGTATGTAGGGATAGATTATAAACAACAGTTGGCAAAAGCTCTCTGAGGGTCCTAAATAAATTCTAAGAGTGTAAAGCTTCCTAAGATCAAAAAGTCTGAGAATTGCAGCACTACACTATGCTCAGCTAACAACTTCATATATGATCTTAAGTAAAATATTCCTAATTTATTCCCTTTAAATTAGTAATATTTTCCATCAAATGACTTCTTTAATAATGGCAGTTGCCATCAAGTGGACTCTGAAGCATAGTGACCCCCATGTGTGCTTAGTAGAACTGCTCCATAGATTTTTCAAGATTGTAACCTTTCAGAAACAGACCGCCAGGCCTTTCTTCTGTGGCCGAAATAAAACCTGTCTCTATGTCAATCAACTATGCTTAAAAAAAGCCTGTTCTCTAGTTAAGCACCATAGAAATGACACTGTTTTAGTCTACAGAGACAGATTCTTCAAAGATTCCAAATAATATAATTCCCATAGTAATTGTAGTAATTGTAACTTATTATGCAACCCTGGTGGCATATAAGTTACAGTTCAGGCTGCTAACCACAGGGTCAAAGTTCAAAGACACCAGTTTTGGGGGATAAAGATGAAACTCTACTCCTGTAAAGAGTTGGTGGTCGTATGCCATCAAGTCAGTTCCGACTCCTAGCTACCCTTATATATAAGATTTCCCAGGCTGAAAATCTTTATGGGAGCATAAAGCCTCATTTTCTTCACGGAAGCAGCTGGTGGATTCGAACTGTTCATCTTGCAGTTAGCAGCCCAACTGGTAATCCACTGTAACCCTAAGGAGCAGTTCTATTCTGTCCTATTTATATAAGGTCGCTTTGAGTCAGAATCCTGGTGTGGTGCTGTAGTATAAGCAGTGGATCGAAAGGTTGGTTTGAACTAGGTCAGCGGTCGGAAACCCTATAGAGCTCTGGTCGCTATGACTCCATAGGTTTTTTCAAGACTGACATTGAAAGGCTATGTGACCAGGCTCTCTAGTAGCGTAGCGATTACTAATCGGGCTACTAACCTCAAGGTCAGCAGTTCGGAACTATCGAAATGGTGATGGTTTCTGCTCCTATAAAGATTTACAGCCTCAGAAACTCTGTACAGTTGTGCCGTGCAGTCGGCACACCACCACCACGACTCCATAGGCTATACTCCAGCCGGCAGTGAATTTGGTTTTAGGTCTGCAGATTATCCACAGCTCATCAGCTGTTCGAAACTACCAGCTGTTCCGCGGGAGAGAGACGAGGCTTTCTGCTCCCGTAAAGATGTGCAGCCTCGGAAACCCTGTACAGGGTCGCTATGAGTCGGAACCAACTCCACGGCACATAATCACAACCACCATTCCTACAAGTGTTTCCGGACGCTTTGACGTCAACACGTACCCTGGTAGAGGAACACCCCCTGCCTCTAATGAACGGCTAAGCCCAACCAGGACACAGAGGACGACCATTGGCTGGCGCCCACCAATCCAGTCTCTCTTCCCTGGTCCCTCCGAGGTCTTCTCTCCAGTTACAGAACTTGGCCTCAGCAGGGTAGAGAGGGCAAGTTGACCACCTAATTCTCCTTCCTCGGAACAGTCCGGAACTCAGACTCACGGCGCTAGGGTTTGCAACGTCACACCTCTACACCGCACCGCTCCCCTAGAATCTACAGTGCTTAGCGGAGGCATCCGCGAGTCAGAGAGTTTGGGTAGGAGCTGCGTTCCTCCGACGCGAAGCCCCGCCCACGCCTGGGGTGGCGCCATCGGGCGATTTGACGACGTCAGTCACGGGCCAGCGCACGATTGGCCGCAGCGAAGATGTGGTGCAGTTGGTTTGCTGTAGGGTCGGCTCGGGCGGTTTGTCGCGTGGCGGTTGGCTCCGCCTGGGGGCGAGGCCAGTTCGCTGCTACCAGCGCCCAAAGAAAAGGCGCTTCGCGTCCCGTCTGGGCTAGCAGTTTTGTCTCCGGTCTCAGTGACGGTTCTGTCGGCTGCGGCAGGAGCGCCGGGTAAGACGCGGAGCAATGGGGTATGGTTGCCAGGCTATGCTCTCCCGGGAGAAGTGGTGGGGATCGGGGAGGGAGCGCCGGTGCTCTTCTGGGCGGGACTAGTACGGCTTCCAGGACAGCGGGCACCCTATTGGGGTCGGTCTCCGGGGCTGTAGCCTCGCGTGGTTCAGGGAGCGTTGACCTTATTCGGAGGGAGCAGCCGCAGCGCGGATGCTGCGAAGCGTCAGTTTTCTGTATCCCTGCAGCATATATTGATTGAATTGGATGATCCCAGTGGTCCCATTAGACTTAATAGTACATGACACTAAGCGGGAAAGCATGCTTTTTCCTTTTTAAAATATTAAAAAGCCATATATGCAGGATCAACGGTATTTAAATCCATCCTACCTTTTTTGAAAAATCCTAGAACTGTTACATTTCAAGAAATCTGAAATTTTTGCTTTTACTTGTATTATAAATGCTTCTGTCTCCATGCTTCATTAGTTTAAAACATTAGGTACTTTACAATTATACAGTGGAAGTTAGGGCGCGTTCGGCTAGGTACTAATTTAGAAATCAAGTTTTGCAATGATGAAAACGTTCCCAGATGAGAACTGTCTGTGAATGTAGATGCTGGAGAAGAAGCAGGTGTATGTGTATGGATGGATTGGAGCCGGTCAAATAAGAACAGCTGGGTAAGATTGGTAGCGCTTGAAATTCATGATTAGAATTTGTTATTTCACTTGGTCCTTAGCGTTCACTGAGGTTTTCTGACTAGAAAAATATTTGGTAATCGATAATATCTGGGGAGTTTGACTTTTAGGAAGGGAACTGAGTTGAATATCTGGTTTTCCCTGTAGTATGGGAAGCAATTTACTTGTCTCTGCTGATTAAATATATAGGTCAATATTTCAATGTTCCATGCCTTTTTGAAAGAGTTTTATTATTTCTTTTTGGTCTAGTTTTCATGTGTAAGTATGCAAATCATATTAAATCAGACCTTTTTAACATAGGACATTTTTAATCTTAATCCAGTATTAAACAGTGACAAAGGAATCCCATCTACATAAAATATGACAGAAGTGTAGTAAATGTTGAAAAAGTTTAGTAAAGATGAGTCCCAGAAGACCGTATAGAAATGATTGTGTTTTATAAAGTTCATAAACAAGCTAAGGCAATATATTGTTTGGTGGTGGTGTTGTGAAGTGCCATCGAGTCGGTTCCGACCCATAGTGACCCTGTATAGGATTTTCAAGGATTGGCTGGTGAGCTTAAACTGCTGACCTTGTGGTTCAAACTGATTTGCAGTCCAGCGCATTAACCCACAGTGCCACACCAGGACTCCATATTTATGTATATATGTATATGGTAAAATGTGTCTCTTCCTCTCTCTGTTTATACTGTTGTTGTTAAGTGCTATCAAGTCAGTTCCGACTCATAGGCACCCTGTATAGGGTTTCCGAGGCTGGTGAGCTTGAACCACCAACCTTGCAGTCCAGTGCATTAAACTGCAGTGCCGTACCAGGACTCCGGTTATGAAAATCCTGAAAGAGCAGTGTGACTTAGAACATTGTCATTTCAAAAAATTCTCGTCATTTTGTAGTTATAAAAGCTACCTAAGTGATGATTTTGGAGTCCTGGTGTGGTGCTGTGGCATAAAGCACTGGACCGTAAGGTCAGTTTGAACCACAGGTCAGCGAATCAAAGTCACAAGCTGCTCCTTGGAAGCCCAGTATAGGGTTGCTATGAGTTGGAACTGACTTAATGGCACTTAACAACAACAACAAAGTGATGGTTTTAATATATATTTTCCTGTTGTAGCATTGTGGGCTAATGCGTCAGATTGCAAAATCATTTGAACTGCAAGGTTGGCGGTTCAAGCTCATCAGCTGCTCCTTGGAAACCCTACACAGGGTCGCTATGGGTCAGAATCGACTCAACGGCACTTAACAACAACATCAAAACCTGAAAATAACCCTCTGTTCTCTGAGACCCTGTAGTCAGTGGCTCTTCCCTACAGACTATGGGTGTTGGCCATACACTGTGGACTCTGGGTAAGGCCCCTCAACAGTGGGCTCTGCTCTGTCTTCCAAGCCCACTGGAATGACAACTCTGCTCCTTTGGCTTTGGGCAGCCCCGTTCTTCTACTCCCTCAGGCATGGCAGTCCTGCAGCCTCAGCTTTCGGCAGAGCCCCCATCTTAACCACAGCCCCACACTGTGGTAGTGATGAAGAAGCCCACTCCCTGAAATTTGAGAAATTGTGGTTCCAATCATAGGAACCCCAAAGGTCATTATAGTTGTACCTTTTGAGAACCCAGGGAACTTACACGAGAAGCCTAGCCATCTGCTTCTGAAAACGCTATGGAGCACAGTTGTACTCTGACACACGTGAAGTCACCTGGAGTCAGGGTCAACGCAACAGCAAGTTGTTAACTGGTATGTTTATATGACCTTCTAGGAAAAGTAGATATAATGGTCTTTGTTTTTCCTTTCTCTTTTTTAATAGTAGTATTTTAGGACAGATCAGACATATTATAACGATGCCTGAAATAAATACTGACAATCTGGACGAGCAGCAGGTTCAACTTCTGGCTGAGATGTGCATTCTTATTGATGAAGATGACAACAAAATTGGGGCTGAGACAAAAAAGAATTGTCATCTGAATGAAAACATTGAGAAAGGTACTCCTTAAAAAGGTTCTGTCTTGTGAAGTGATTGTCTAGGTGTCTCAGACTCTCTGAGGAAAGTGCTCTAATAAAGGATATAGCAGTTCGTAATCATTTCATTCTTTATCTGCGGCTCTGCTTAGTTAAAGTGGTAGTGTATTAGTAAAATCTACCTTTCCACCTTGTTGTTTAACAGTCTTATCTTGCCACTTTGCCTGTCTGTTAATCAGTGTCTTCAGGTGTATTTTGTAAAAGAAAGAATAAATTAATCCTAGCATAACACCAATTGTCAAACCTTCTAATGTGTGGTGAGTGCCATGTGTTGTAAAGGAAAGAATAAATCTTTGCTGGAGTAGAAGACTCGAAATCCCTGAAAGCACATATGACCAGTAGCAGAGCTGGCCGGTGCATTCCATTTCTTAACTTGGTGTCTCACATCCCTTGTTTGGTGTGCTGGGACTTTTCTCCACAGCAACCATGCAATTGTTGTTACATACCATCTAGTCAGTTCCAACTTTCGTGACCCCAGATATGACAGACTAAAACATTGCAACATCCTCACAGTTGTTGCTATGTTTGAGGCCCCCTCCTTTTTTTTTTTTTCTTTGTTGTAATTTTTTATTGTGAATTCAGTGAAGATTTATAGAGTAGATCAATTTTGCACCAACAAATTGCACATCTTGTTTCATCTCAATGATTGCAATCCCCTCCATGTAACAACAACAGTTATCACACTTCCTCCCTGTGGTTCTTAATTCCATTCTACCCTCCATTCCCATCCCTTTGTCCTTATGTATATGTTGCCCTTTTGATCTTGAATGGTTGATCATTCCAAAGTGTGTATGTTGTTGTTTTGTGCCTTGGAGTTGGTTCCGACTCCTAGTGACCCTATACAGGGTTTCCGAGGCTGTAAATCTTTATGGGAGCAGACCGCCTCATCTTTCTCCCGCGGAACTACTGGTAGTTTCAACCTGCTGACCTTGCAGCTCGCAGCCCGATTTGTAACCACTACGCTACCAGAGCCTTACTAGTATTGTTCTTCCCTCTCTACCTATGTACTGCTTATCTGAAAATTGGCGACAAGGGTGAGTTCTGTTCCAGACCTGAATGAAGAGTGGCCAAGAGCCACAGTCTTTGGTTCCTCCAGTCTCTTTCTGACCAGTAATCCTGAGCTTTTGTTGTTTTGTAATTTTGAATCTTGTTCTCCATTGTCTTCCATTCTTTCTGGGACCTTCTAATATGATCCCTTTCACAGCAGTTGGTAGTGGTAGCAAGGGACCATCTAGTTCTTCTGGTCTCAGAGTCGTGCTGACTGATGCTCACATGTTCTGTTTCGTTGGTCTATTGGACTGCTTGATTCCAAGCATCTTCAATTTTCGTCTCTCTCTTTATCTGTACATGGAAAGACCAATAGTTGCACCTTAAGATCTCAGTAACTACTTAACCAAAGTAAGATGTAGAATCGTTTTTTTGAATTATGTTATATCAGTGGATCATGGTGTGTTTGAGCTCATTTTTGCAACTACTTTGTCAGTCCATTTTGTTGAGGGTCTTGCTCTTTTTCACTGACCCTATACTTTACCAAGCATGATGTCCTCTTCCAGGGACTGTCCCTCCTGATAACGTGTCCATAGATGTGAGACAGTCTTTCCATCCTCACGTCTAAGAAACATTCAAGTTACACTTCTAAGATAGATTTGTCCATTCTTCTGGCAGTCCATAATAGTTTTATTATTGTTTTGCTAACACCATGCTTTAAAAGCCTCAGTCCTTCTTCAAATTTTCCTTATTCATTGCCCAGCTTTTGCACACATATGAGATGATTGAATATACCATGCCTTGGGTTAGGCGCATCTTAGTCCTCAAGGAGACATCAATAAATTATTTAAGTCCTCTTTACTTTCATTAAACAAGGTTGTTTTATCTGCATATCTCAGGTTATTAATGAGCCTTCCTCCAGTCCTGATGCTGTTCTCTTCATACAGTCTAACTTCCCAGATTATTTTGCCAGATTGAATGAATATGGCAAAGGGATCCAGCCCTCATGTGCCTCTTTTTTTATTTTAAACCCTTGTTCTGTTCTAATGACTGATTTTTGATATATATACAGGCTCCTCATGATCATGAGCACAATTAGGTGTTCTGGAATTCCCTTTCTTGGCAATGTTACCCATAATTTGTTAAGACCCACACATTTGAGTGTCTTTGCATAGTCAATACAATAAATAGGCTAATATTTTTGGTTATTCTCTGCTTTCAGCCAAAACCCATCTAATATCAGCAATGATGTCCCTTAGTTCCACGTTCTCTTCTGAATCTGACTCAAATTTTTGGCAGTTTCCTGTCAATATACCACTATAACCATTTTTCATTATCTTCACCAAAACTCTGTGTGTCATGTTAATGTAATTGTTCAGTAATATCCGCAATTTATTGGAGCACCTTTCTTTGTAATGTGCATGAATGTCCACCTCTTCCAGTCAGTTGGTCAGATAGCAGTCTTCCAAATTTCTTGGCTTGATACAGTGACTGTATTCGTTACATCTTATTTTGCTGTTTCCTACCTAGTTCAATATTTTGCACATAGAATCCTTCAGCATTGGAAATTAAGGCTTGAATTTTTTCTTCAGTGCTTTCATCTTGAGAAATGCCAAGTGTGCTTTCATTTTATGGTTTTGTTTTATTTTATGTTTAATTTCCCTTGAAATCTTCTTTCGCTCTTTTATGTCATCATTTCTTCCATTGACTTTAGCTACCTAGTGTTCAAGAGCAAATTTTCAGTGTCAGGTATTTGATGTCATCCCCAAACTCACCTAGTCTACCATTATTAATGTTTAATGTATCACATCTTTTCTTGAGATGGTCTCTAAATTCGGGAAGGATATTTGGCTCTCATGGACTTGTTTTAATATTCTTCAGTTTCAACTTGAACTTTGTTGTTGTTGTTAAGTGCCATCGAGTCGGTTCCGACCCATAGCGACCCTGTACAGGGTTTCCGAGGGTGTAAATCCTTACGGGAGTAGAAAGAACTTAGATATGATTAATTGATAATCTGCTCCACAGATTATCTGGCTTTGCTCTGACTGATGATGTTGAGCCCCTCTATCATTTCTTTCCACAAGTGTAGTCTATTTGATTTCTGTGCATACCATCTGATGAGGTCTAACATGCCAATTTATGTTGTGGCATTGACTAAGTTATTGGGTCTTCAAAATTCTTCCATATGGTCTTTCAACTGCTGATTCTTCTTTGTTTGAATGTTTGAATAATAGTCATATTAACTGGTCTTCCTTGTATGAATATGGAGATTATCTCATCATTGATAGCATTGATACAGCATAGATATAGAAATGTTCTTTTTGATGAGAATGCAGTGTCATTCTCTTCAAGTAGTAATTCCTGGCATAGTAGACCATATGGTTTTCAGATTCCAATACCAGTCCATTTTTGCTCACTAATGCCAAGGATGGAGTCCTGGTATGGTGCTGCAGGATAATGTGGTAGACCACAAAGTAGGCAGTTCAAACCACCACCGCTTCTTGGAAACCCTATACAGGGTCACTATGAGTCAGAACTGACTCAGCAGCACTTAGCAACAACAATGTCTAGGATATTTCTGTGTTTAATTTCTGACAACATATAGTTTTCCAAGATTCATACTCATGCAGTCTGTGTTACAATTATTGTTGAATGTTTTTAGCTGTTCTCATTTTAATTCATACCACATCAGGACATGAAGTTCCTGCAAGCTTTACCCCATCATGCCATTAAAGTCAGCTGGACTTTGTAAAGGCACCATTTGCCCAGTCTTTTGAGTACCTTTCAACCTGAGGGGCTCACATGCCTGCACTGTGGGATAAGCACTGTACTGCTAACCCCAAGGTTGGCAATTCATACCCATCACTCTGATGGCGAAAAACGAGGCTGCCCGCTTCCGTAAAGATTTACAGTCTTGAGGAAACCCCGTATCACGTCATTATGTGTCAGAATCGATTCATTGGCAGTGACTTTAGTTCTTTGTATATCAGACCATGTTCTGTTGTTATTTATAAGGTTTTTAGGCGGTACTTTCTTAGAAGTGGACCACCCCCTCCGTCTTCCTATTTGGTCTTTACATGGAAGTTCCTCTACAACTTGTCCACTATGGGTGACTCTGCTGGTATTTGAAATAGTGATGGCATAGCTTCTAGCACCACAACCACATGCAGGCCACCACAGCACAACATACTGATCACCATGCAGAGGCTCACCCAAACTGAAGACCATGAGGAAAGTTGAAAATCAGGCAAAGAACTGGAGTTTGAAGAAATACAAAATAATGGTATTTCTTTTGCTTTCAGGATTATTACATCGCGCTTTTAGTGTCTTCTTATTTGACACAGAAAATAAGCTCCTACTACAGCAGAGGTCAGATGCTAAAATTACCTTTCCAGGTTAGTATAGTCAGTAAGCAATGTACTGGTGGAAGCTATAGTTAAAATGGTGTGTTATTGTCGTTTGTGGGGAAAGGATATTAGAAACTAACCCTTGTGAACAGGGAAAAGATTCTTAAGAATGGTACTAGAGGTAAAGTTTCTGTATTATTGAAGAATATGTTACATGTTATTTTCTATAATTTTCCTTGGCCAATGTGAGGTATATTTTAGATGCCCAGGCAGAGTACATAACAGAGTTAAAGTTGTTAAAATAAAACTTGAAAACTTCTAAAATAAACGTGATTAAAAAGTTAGAAAACATTGCAAGGAAAGGAAATAATTTCAGTGTACTAGAAACCTGGTATGCAGTGGTGTCATTAAGCACAGATTACTCCCGTGTAGCCAACTTCAAAAGGAAAATGTAAGAATGTTCTGTGTGGAAGAAGCTTATACAGTGAGTACAACCTATACAATAGGACAGCAGTTAAGAACAAGAACTAAGGGAATGATTGTGTGTGTGTGTGTGTATGTGTGTGTGGATATAATTTTTGTATCTTCCCATCTTAATTATCTTTATGGGAAATCAGCTGTTTATAAAGAAATTATCTACAGATGTCTCCTTTACAAAATGATTAGATATTCCATTTTAACTGATTTGAAAATACTACAGAATCATTTTATTTTTCTGTTAATTTTAAGACCATTAGTTTTCTTAATTTTTCAGACTGACGGAAGAAAAGTTAACCTATACTTATGGTAACGTTTTCCAGGTTGTTTTACCAATACTTGTTGTAGTCATCCATTAAATAATCCTGGAGAACTTGAAGAAAACGATGCAATTGGAATAAGACGAGCAGCACAGAGGCGTTTAAAAGCTGAGTTTGGGATTCCCATGGAAGAGGTAACAAATTTGAGTGTACATAAAACTATATAAGTTGAAATCTGAGCATACACTTAAAAAAATATTTTATACAGTTTTCAAAGTCAAGCGTAGGTCTCTCATTTCTTAACCTTTTGAGTTAGCCTCAGATAACACCTTGAATAAAGAAGAATATTTAACTTTTTATATACTGTTACTTATCAAAGTTTAGGAGTCCTGGTGTGGTACTGTGTGTTAATGTGCCAGACTGCAAAGCCATTGGAACTGCAAGGTTGGCAGTTCAAGCTTTCCAGCTTCTCCTCGGAAACCCTATTCAGGGTCACTATGAGTTGGAATCATCTCGACAGTACTTAACAACAACAACAACATCAAAGTTTAGCTCAACATTGAAATGAATAAATCTGAACTAATATATGAAGCTGACTATTTTTGTACTTGATCAAATGAAAGATGAATATGTTCTTGTGGAAAACCTTAGGAATATGAGCTATACTGATTAGGTATATTGAAATAATCTCTTCTGTTTTTTTGAAATGTTCATTAAAAATAAGGTCTCTAGATAAACTGCCTCATCTAGTTAAAATAGTAAAAGTTACTTTCTAACAAAAAGTGATCTTATATAGTGATCTTATATTACGCTTCTATAGACTAGGATTCCTGGTATGGTGTTGTAGGTTTAGCCCTGGACTGTTAACAGCAAGTTCAACAGTTCAAATCCACCAGTCACTCTTTGGAAACCCTATACAGGATTGCTATGAGATGGAACAGACTAGACAACACACAACAAGTGGTTGCTATTTTTTTCTTTTTCTTTTAATATTTCTTTTAAAAATCAGTGAGCAAAGGCTTCAAAATGTTCATGGAAAAATTCCATTATATTTTAATTCCATTTTTCCATGAACTTTTTGAAGCCTGCTTATATGTCTGCTCCTATGGGAAAAGTGATTCGTTTCTTGAAACTAGCAATGTAACAATGCTTTCATATATCATAAACAGGAGTTTTTTTAATTCTGACTATTAGACTATATTGCTATTCAAGATTTCACTAAACTGTAGTGAGTTACTTTTAAATTACTTTTTTAAACAAGTTAATTACTGACATTGTGTCTTTTATTTCTATAGGTTCCACCAGAAGAAATTAAGTATCTAACAAGAATTCACTATAAGGCCCAATCTGATGGCATTTGGGGTGAACATGAAATCGATTACATTTTGTTTGTGAGGAAGAATGTAACTCTGGATCCAGATCCCAATGAGATTAAAAGTTATTGTTATGTGTCAAAGGAAGAGCTAGAAGAAATGCTGAAAAAAGCAGCCAGTGGTAAAATTAAGATCACTCCATGGTTTAAAATTATTGCAGAAACCTTTCTCTTTAAATGGTGGGATAACTTAAATCATTTGAATCAGTTTGCTGAACATGAGAAAATACATAGAATGTGAACATAGGGATGAATGATTAGTAAAGTCCTAAAAATGTTGTCTGTAGTAAACTTAGAATGATGGTTGTGTACTTTTTAGTTTGGTTCTTTGTTAGAACTCTCATTTGACAAACTAATGCTTTCACAGGCTAGAAGATGTGTGTAAATTGTTTCATAAGACCTATAGTATTGCTGTTTGTAAAAGAAAATTATTGTACAAAGAGAGTGCAAATAAAACCTAATTTAACCTATCAAAAAACATATCCATGACAATTTTGAACTAGTGAAGCTCTTTTTTATATATGTTTTGTGATAAGCATTTTCAAACTTTGTAGAGCATTTTGCTGTGTATCAGGTGCTTTATATATCATTGAATTCTTACCGTGGTCCAGAAAAATATGCAGAGGAAACAGTTTGCTAAACTACTTCAAAACAGTTCTGGAATTAAATAGTGTGTCTCTTAATTTCTGTCATTCTAATTTTGTGGTTTAATCATTCTTAAATTACTACTTTAGATTGTAAGCAGCAGTGGCTAATAATTTGGTTACACAAACTATTTTTAAAAGCCTGTTCCCACTGAGTCAGTTCTGACTCATAGTAGCTCTGTAAGACAGAGTAGAACTGCCCTATAGCACTTTCCAAGTTGTCTTTTCAGAAGCTGACTGCCACATCATCCTCCTATAGAACAGCTAGTGGGTTCAAGCCACCAAACTTTCTTTTAGCAGCTGAACACTTAACCACTGCCACCAGGGCACCTTTTAAATAGTCTTTGCCAGTTAGCAAAGCTTGTGTTTTCAGAATTAAGTAGCCACGGAAGCTGTTCATATAATGGGAATTGGGTCATACTGGGCAACAGGGTATCTTAATATTGACACTATTTACATTTGTTGTTGTTATGTGCCATGGAGTCTGTACTGACTCATAGCGACCCTGTACAGGGTTTCCGAGGCTATAAATCTTTAGGGAGCAGAAAGCCTCATCTTTCTCCCGCTGGTAGTTTCGAACTGATGACCCATTGGTTAGCAGCTCGATTTGTAACCACTACACTACCAGAGCTCCTTAAAATATGACTCAAGTGTAGCAAATGTTGAAAAGGTTTAGTAAAGACAAGTCCCAGAAGACTGTATAGAAATGATTGTGTTTTATAAAGTTCATAAGCAAGCTAAAGCAATAGATTGTTTGGTGGTGTTGTGGAGCCAGATAATTCTTTGTTGTGGGAGCCCATCCTGTGTGCTGTAGGATGTTTAGAAGCATCCTTGGGCTTTACCTGCTAGTTGCCAGTAATCTCCCATTTGTGACACCCCAGAATGACACCAGGCATTCCAAAACGTCCAGGGGGTGGGGAGATAGGGAGCAAAGTCACTCCCAGTTGGTAACTACAGTTCTATAGTCAGGCCATATTGGAAGAGGGAATCAACAGACAGAAAAGGCTAATGTTCATGTTTAATAGTTTCAAGTTAGTGAATATGTATATATATTTATTTATATATTAATACTTGTGATTGTGAAGGTTTTGTGTCATATTGGCTGGTTCTGGATTCTTAAGGCTTAGCAGTTAGGATGTACTAGTCCCCATGTTAAGACCAAGCATAATGTAATCACTTACAGATGTGATCAGATCTGATGTAATTATCCAATTTGCTGTAAATTGTCACTTCTGTTAATGAGGCCCCATGCAATCTATAGGATTAGGTGTGTCTTGAGTTTAATCTCTTTTGAAATGTAAAATGTAAAAGAGTTTAAACACACAAGCAGAACTCAGAGGGACCTACTGCTACCACCAAGAAAGAAGAGCCAGAAGTGAAGTTTGTCTTTGAACTTGGGGTCTCTGCACTGTGAAGCTTTCAGATGCAGGGAAGGTTGATGCCAAGACACATGGAGATCTGGAAGGAATGCTGGGCCTACTGATGCTGAGAGGAGCCAAGAAACTTGCCCCAGAGCTCTGAATTTGAACTTCTAGCCTTCCAAACTGTGAAAGAAAACATTTTTGGTTGTTAAAGCCATCCACTGATGGTATTTCTGTTACAGCAATACTAGATAACTAAGACAGTATTTTAAATTGGATCTTTACTAATAAAAGTTTTTTAAACTATTGCCATAGATTTCTCATATTTGAAATTTAAGATGGCTTTATTATCCTTTATTATAAAGTATTATAATAAAGAAAAATGTATTTCTTACAAAGATGAATGATTTATAATTTCAACAGAAAAATAAAAATTTCTAGGTACACATCTTCATACTATTGTTTAATTTTTTTAATTTTTAATAAAATAATAGGCTAATTGGCCTTTAGTAGCTTAAACAAGATAAATTCCAGATAGTTTCAAATGAATTTATATTTAATTTCCTAGAAAGTTTGAGGCTGAAAGACAGTGAGTCATGGCTATTTCCTACTGTATTGAAGAGTGGAGTCTTCAATGTTCAGTCAAAATTACCTGTGTTAGAAATGAATCCCAATGTCACATAAAAGACACTCGATGAGACTAAATTACCTTGGCAAAGCAAAATTTACTCCTGCAAGAGGGTGCGTGCGCATAGCCTTACATACAGACAGGAACTGGCCAGTGAGCACACTGAGTGGGCAGTCCACTCGGGTTTTGACCGCACAGTCTTTTCCCTTACCCAGTTGGCTAGTTCAAATTTCTAAGGCGTGCATTCCTACTTTAGTAAAAGAAAAAGAGCACGATCATAAATTCTTTACTCCAGGAAGTACTTAAAAAGAGATCATAAAGTCTTTACCTCAGAAAATTAAATAAAGTTACCCAAATACAATAAACAGGACTATAATTGTGAGATGGAATGAGTCGGAACACAGCCAGCCACGTGCAAGGCTTTATTGGAGGTCAGAAGGAAAAAGGTATTGCTGGGAGAAGGATTTTTATACTGGTCAAAGAGGAGGGTGGGGTTGAGATTAGTGGAGGTAGGTGATAGGTTGACTAGAGATGACTTTCCGGTAGGGAGAGAGGAAGTCCCGGTAGGAAGAGAAGTTCCAGTAGGTAGAGGGTAAGTTTGGCCAGTAGCCGTATTATTATGCATGTGGACGGGGGATTCTATCATTTCAGCCTATTGTTATGGGTACAGGGATGGAGGTCATTTCTTTTGAGTGGCTTCCTGCTGGAAGGGGGCAAAGAGGAGGGAACTACTTATCTGGAGTGTTCTGGCTGGCTGGTCTTGTTGCTTGGCAGTGGTTGGTATCCGGCCATGAGGAATTCGCCCACCGTCTGGTTTGTGAAGGCCCTCGTGTTCCTGAAGAAAATTTTGAAGACAGCGAAACAGGTATAGGCCAAATAACAGTATCAGGAGGATTATAGTTAATGGCCCTAGGAAGGGGAGAAGCTAAGGCCACCAGGAGGACATTAGGGTCCAACCATAGTTTGCTGTTTCTGATTGCCTAGTGCGAATTCTGCCCTTTAATTCTTTTACCTTGCTTAGGACTATGTCAGACCCATTGACAACATAACAGCATTCCTCACCTAGGGTCTGGCATATTCCTCCTTTCTCGCCCGTGAGGAGATCTAAACTGCGTCGGGTTTGTAGTACTACAGCTAGTGAGTTAACTTGGTTTTGTAGGGCAAGGAGGGTGTCTGCTACCCTCTCCATGTCCCCGTTCAGAATGGATGTTCCTAATCAGATGGGATTGAGATTCGGGTCGCAGGGATTAAATATGTGACCCCACACAGGTGTTGTGCAGGTTGTTGTTGTTGTCGTTATGTGCGGTGGAGTCGTTTCCGACTCAGCAACCCTGTACAGGGTTTCCGAGGCTGCAAATCTTTATGGGAGCAGAAAGCCTCATCTTTGTTCTGCGGAACAGCTGGTAGTTTTGAACTGCTGACCTTGCGGTTCACAACCTGATTTGTAACCACTACGCTACCAGAGAGCCACTGTGTGGGTAGGCATTTGAAATTAGGGACTGGGTCAGTGGGAATGGCTGAGTACCCCAGGTCCCTATAGGGAAACAAACCCAGCATGAGGTTTTATTGAATATGGTTCCTGTATTAGTGATTAGCATGTGATGGGATTGACAGATGCTGTCAGGATCTAGCCATGTTCATAACCCTTTATATCCTGGGTCCAGCCATTGCGTGAGGTTCTTTGCGGCTTCTACACTGATCTTTTTCCTGGCTGCATCTGCCATTGCCCCCAACCCCCATCTGACATCCTTATTTGGGTTTGATATGTCCAGCAGACAGGCTTGTTGCACCACCTTTTACAAGTTGTGGATTGGGAAGCCATGCAGTTAGAGAGTTTGGATAGGCACCATACTCTGATTCCACAAAACTGCTTGGTGACAGGTGTTTGTCCCAGATAGCAAGCAGAGTGCATAAAGGTCAGGACACTGGAGCAGTCCATGGCTGTATGAGGGGTTGAACATGTTTTGTCATTTTGGCTAAGGCCCAATCTGATCATCAAGGTTGAGATAAAGAGTATGGAGAGCATACTGGGATGATGTAAGTTCCACTATGAGGAGAAAGAGTAAGGCAAAGATGATTCAAGAATGGCAAAGCCACTCAAGGGGTGAGACAGCGAAGAGGCCTACTGCCAGGATGATAGATAGTCCCCCGAAGGGGGCGAGGAAGGACAGGTGGCAAGTTAATATGGAGGTGTGTCTAAGGGAGTATGTGGAGGTAGGGCTAGCCAGCAGAGGAGACTGTCAGCAGAGAGATTTCATCTGGTGAGAAATCAGAGATACAGTGCCCTGGAGAATTCAGTAGAGGAGGGAGATGATATAGATCGTGAGAGAGCTCCCTCATGGTTATAGGGAGGAAGGAGGCAGGGTTGAGAGGGGGGCAAGATTCTAATTTAAAGTTGGAATTTTCAATGAAAACCATATGGAATAATTGAAGGCGTGAAGGGGAGAGGTTTGAGACTGCTTTGTGGGTGAGTAGATGTTGGAGGTGATGTGGAGACCTAATAGTGGTGAGTTAACCAAAAGTGAGTTTGGTACTTTCTTGGGCCAAGAGTACTTCTGCTACCAGAGCTCGCAGGCATGATGGCCATCCCCTGACAGTGGGATCCATC